TGCTGGAGAAGGCAGCTGTATTTTCCAGACAGACCCCTGAGGTTTTGATAAAGTTAAAAAAAAAATTGATGAAGCCAAAAGAGAAAAAAAAACCCAACCAAAACCCAACCAAACTGCTGGAATTTACACCCAGCTCTGTTTTCCAGGCAGGAGGCAGCAGAAGCTGTCCCGCTGACACCTACCGTGAGACCAGCACCATCAGGTTGTTCTCCTTGTCTACGCTGTACCGCCGAACGTAGACGTAGTCTCGTGAGTACATGGGGTACTGGGGGGAGAAAAGGAACAGGAATCAACCCTGCTGGCTGCTCCCTGGGGAAGGAAAATCATCAGAGCAGGAGAAAAAGGAACCACTGACCGGGAAATGAGTGACCCAGTGAATCACTTCCGATCCAGTGGCCAAGTCTCTCTCGATTACGTCCAGTTTGATGACCAGTGAGTCCCATTTCTTCCTGTATTCAGTGTCCAGCTGGCAGAAAAAAAAGAAAAAAGTTAAAAAAAAAGCAGAAAAGAGAGGCTGAGTCACAAGAAATTCCAACGGTGTCACTACAGGACAGTGACCAGCCCTCTTCCTCCTCCTGTGGAAACGAGCTGCGTCACGCTCGGGCTTCTACCCACCAGGAAATTATTAAAATACTCTTTGAAAGTCATGAGAAGAGGAAGTGCAGGAGCTGGCAGGGCCAGGACCAGAAAACCACTGAGCTCCTGCAGCCGAGGGCAGCTCACGCCTGCTCATCCCTCATTCCCTGCAGGGCCGGGCAGCAAAACCCAACTGGGCTGTGGGGTAACTCGCCCGGCTCCTGAGCTGTACTGGGATCACCTCTGGATGAGGGAAATGGTGACAAGAGAAAAGAATCTTCACTGTTTTCTCCTGGAGAAAAGGAGGCTGAGGGGAGACCTTCTGGCTCTGTGCAAGTCCCTTGGAGGAGGGTGGAGAGAGGTGGGGGTGGGTCTGTTCAACCAAGGAACAAGGGACAGGACAAGAGGAAATGGGCTCCAGTTGTGGCCAGGGCAGTTGAGATGGGATGTGAGGAAGAATTTCTTTGCTGCAAGGGTTCTGAGGCATTGGAAGGGGTTGCCCAGGGCAGTGGTGGAGTCCCCATCCCTGGAGGGATTGAAGAGTCGTGTAGACACAGTGCTGAGGGACATGGGTTAGTCATAGGGGACTGGTCAGTGTTGGGTTCATGGTTGGACTCCATGAGCTTAAAGGGCTTTTCCAGTCGAGGCAGTTCTGTGGGATTCTGTGTTTCCCTATCCCAGCCCTCTGTTATTAATATTATAATTAATAATAATTATTATTATTACCTGTTATTTCTAATCACACAGATTTCAAAGGCACTCACCTGTACGTTGAAGAACTGTCGGGGAGTCACATCTGTGTACGACCCAAACACTGCGGCAAAGAGAAAGTTTTTAGTCCCAGGAATAAGCAAATCTTTCTCTAAATAACATTTGTAAGTTAAAAAAGAAGTAAAATTAAAAGTTTACTTTTTTTAAAGTTAAAAAAAAAAAATCTAAGTAAGATTTGTAAGTAGAAGCCAAGGAAAAGGGATTTTCTAAGGCAGGTGGCAGAGCTGGGACCCTCCAAAGAGCTACAGGGGGACGGGATTTGTGGAGAGGGAAGCCAAGGATGACAATTCCCATTTCTTTTTCTCCCTGTTCCCTATAAATAGAGGCCAGGAGGCACATCCAGGTGAGAACAAGCTCCAGGTGGGGTGTGAGGAGCCCCGTTACCTCGGTACTGGTACAAGTGGGTGCCCTCGATGGGCCGTCGCCAGAGTTTAAAGTGCTTCTTGTCCATGATCATCTCCCAGGGCTGCTCCCCAGCAGCTGCCACCCCTTCACATTCCACTTTGGGATCTGGACGTTGATAGTCGCCCTGGAAGAGGCTGGATACGTTCTCCATGTGCTTCATCTCCTGTGCAGACCTGGGGGAAGATGAAAAATCACAAGAGTTTGTAATTAAAACCTCGTCGGAGCTTTTCTGCTAATGAGGGAGCTCTCAGACCAGCAGCACCTTCCCAGCATGGTCCTGGCTTCATCTAGAGGGTTTTTGGGCTGGGAAGGGTTCTCCCCTCCTGCCTGGATAGAAAACAGCACAGAAAACCCAACCCTGCAGCCTTTTTCTTCCATCCTAAGGATCTTCTGCTTATATAGAATGAAAAAACCACGCCATGGTGCGGTCCTGTAAGAGGGAAAGTCTCTCTAAGAGAATGTTTATAGGTGAAATTATAATGATTAATAAAAGTATTATAGTTAAGGTGAAAAATCACAAACAGGTGCTATGAAATCATAGAATAATGATAATTTTATAACCCACCCAACCCTGCTGCTTCTCAGCCTGTCCCTTCTCCAGCCCCCTCCATGGTTGGGTTAAACCCAAGCCCAGCTGGACCCACGAGAACTGAGAGAGGCAGCAACTGGAGAGGAGAAGGGATGGACTCGGGGGGAGCCAGCTGGGGAAGGTTCCAGCTCCTCAACCAGCCCCAAGCTCAGTGTCAGGGTGGGAGTTGTTCTGAAAAGCCCCCAGGTGAGCAGAGAGGGAGATGATTCCAGGAGCTCAGGGAGTGACCAGAGCGGGAGCAGCGGCTGCAGCTTCTCAAGAGGCACCAGGAGGAGAGGAGAAGAATCAGCCACCTGTGAAGAACCATGATGGACCTTGTCCAGAACTTCACATCGGGGAAAAAGGAAACACCAAGAACTTGGAGAAGAGCCCCTGGTGCATCAGGTGAAACTCAGCACATCTCCAGAGCCACTGACTGAGGTGATGGCCCAGCTCTGAGCTGTCAACAAAGCCAACCTGGAGCTCCCCACGTGAGTGACATCCCTGTGACACTGGCCAAGTTCAGAGTCTGAACAGAGAGCAGGAGACGTGGGGGGTGGGGGGTCTCTGATGAGGTCGTGACACTGAATAAACCAGTTCCCCAACGGAGTGAAATCCCTTTCCCAGCTCCCAGCTCCTCTTACAAGGTGGAAACTGGGGTTTGAAGGCAGCTGCTGGGGAGTCCCTAAGTCAGGTGGCACCACAAAGTCACCCGTGGGGCTGGCTCTTCAAGGAGAGGAAGGGGGAAAAACCAACCCCACAGTGATGTTGTGTGGTGGTTTCTCAGGGGAAGGGGCTTGTTCCTGGCAGGGGTGGGAAGTGATTCTCCCCCACTCTGGTGAGATTGGGCAGATAAATCACTCTGTGTCCTCAGTGAGCATCAGCCTGTCCACAAAGACCAAAAAACCCCTGGCAGTGGTCACTGATGGACCCTGATTTGTTCTCCTGGCTGGATCAAAGAGAAGCTGCACGAGATGAAACAGGAAAGAAACTGGATTTAAGGAAAAGGGAGGATTTGGGGGTTGAAGGCACCAAAGAACAAGGTCCTTGGGGTGCAAAAGGAAGCAGGGAGGGATGGAGAGGGGGGTTCTCAGCGTTTCAGGGGGTGGGTTGGCTCCTGAGAGCCCATCCCAAAGCACCAAGAAGTGAATCTCCAGCAGGAGTGTGTGAGGGAGGAAAGGGGACGAGCAGCTTCTCCTACGAGAGGGATGGAGAGAAACGGGGGCTTCCCACCAACGTGGCCCCCCCAAACCACCAACCCCTCGAGATTCAGCGTCCTCCACCTACAGAAACTGGTGCTGGGTTCAGATCTTGGGTCTCAAAAATATGAGGGGAAGAGAAAAGGGCAGGAAAACCTCCCACCCCCGGGATAAATCCCTGTGAGTGGGGCCTCAGCCCCCCCAAAATAACCAACACGAGGGGAGCAGCTGGTTTATCTGCACCCCGAGCCCCCAGCCTCAGGGGAGGACGGTCACTCGCTGCCTGCGGCGCTTCCGACGCTCCCGGCGGTGCCTGAAGATATTAATTATATTAAAATAATTAGCATCAATCAGCTCTGAAGCATTAATTAGGAACCTGCCAGGCAGGTCTCACTGGTCTGGCTGGGTTCACCTTGGTGGCAATCACCAGATCCCAGCCCAGCCTGGGCTGCTCCCAAAGCTTCACAGGACAAATCCGATCCCTAAATTCACTTTCCCTGAGGTCTGTGGATCCAGATCCCCCTGGGGTGGCTGCAGCTCCCTGCACACCCTGGCACAGCCCCGTCATCACCTTCTCCGAGCAGGGAATTACATCAATACTTAATTTATTGATTAATTAACCCTTCACTCCATCCCTCTGGAGCTGGTTCCTCTCACGGACGTGGTCAAACCCGCAGCAGCTGGGTCAGCAAACTGGGCTGGGGCTGGAGAGGTGTGGAGCCAGCTGGGGAATCAGGAGTGGGGAATGTTCCTGAGCTGGATCATCCCCGTGGCCACAGCTCCAGGTTCCTCCTGCTGCTGCTTCATCACCTCCATCCTCATGGGAGACAAACCCCAACCACAGGGGCTGCTGCCCCGGCGGCGGGTGGGCTGGGGGCACTGGGGACACCGGTCACGGGTTATTTCTGACCCCTCAACACTACAAAGATGAGGTGGCACCACCAGAGCGAGGATTTGGGTTTTACCAAAGAAAAAAGAGCTTCTCCCTGAAATTAAATGAGAAGGGGATGGGGGAGGAGAGCAGGAGGGGAAGAGAAAGATGATAAGGAAGCAAAGAGCTGTTTGAAACCCCGGGAGGAGACGTGGTTCCCTGGGTGACACAAAGGGTGAGGAGTTCCACCAAGCCAGGTTCTCCTTTTTATTTCTGCCCACTGTCACTCTGAGTCTGTGTGTGGCCTAATCACCAAAAATCCTCAGAGATAAAAATTCCACTGGTCGCTGAAGAGGAGAGCAAAGCTCTGCTGTGCTGCTCCAACTCGTTCTACCAACAAGCAGAGACTGTCCTGAGGGTTTGGTTCTCCCCACAACCAGACTGGAGCTGAACGAGCCACGACGGAGTGTGAATGATGAAAGGAATGAGAAGAAAGTGAATAATCAGAGAACCCCAGCCTGGTTTGGGTTGGGAGGGA